GTTGTTGGAGAGCAATAAAAAAACAAACAAACCTTTGAGTTGCCTGGCAAGGCGTGTGTGCGGCCATCTTTAGGCATCTGTACAAACAACAATGACAAAGTTTGTTTGTATGTGTGTGTGTGTGTATGTGTGTGTGTGTGTGTATGTTGCATACATGCATGTGTACAGTAATTCAGAGTGCACAAATATGTACACGCTTCACCAATTTTAACCAATCAAATTAATGAGCTACATATTTTATATTTACAATAAACTGAGTGATCTGAATGTTATAAAACTTACACAAACACACACACACACACACATAAAAAAACACAAAAAAACACACACAATCACACTCAACAACATTAGTATCACACACACATAAACATAATACCAATCCAGAATTTGTATACGGTACTATACGAGCTATAAATAAACGTTATGTAAATAACCTATAAAGAAAATTATAGCATAAAACTAACAAGTTATAAAACAACATCAAAAACACATCCAATCAATGTATATATTTTATTACACCTACATACATAGCAATGAGACCGTACACAAACATCGTGAAATAATACACAATACCAACAACAGACAACAGACACACAACAACACAACTTCCCACAAACGGTTCAGTAGGGAGTGCACCTAGTACTGATCACGCAGATACCGGATTCAAAAGCAGAGATCTCCGTGACCTTTTATATACAATGCGCGTGAAATGCTTCGATTCACTTGTGTTTAGTATGGACCAGTATGTTTAGTTGTTGATACTTCTGAGAAAAAAACTTAAGAAAAACATGTTAAGCGATATCTCATTAAAAAACAACATTCACGCACATACATTGCTTAAAGACGACACATACAATCGCGTTGAGATCAAACAAAAACAAACATCATCATTTTCTACGTACAGTTTTCACGTCCAGATAGCAAAAATACAACTTTTATGGAACAACATACAAAAATCGAACAACATACAGTAAGTTGTTTTACACACATGAACACTAACATACAACAATCAGCATTACAGGCCATACACACATAAAACAAACACATACACAAAGACAGACAAACAAGTTAAAGCACAGACACACAAAAAAACAATGGAGAGAGAGAGAGAAAGAGAAAAAAAGAAAGAAAAAAGTGAGCGAGGAAGAAAGAAAAAGAGAAAAGTGTGTGAGAGGTAGGAGAGAGAAAGAGAAACAGAGAGGGTGAGAGAGAAAGAGAAAGAGAGAGAGGAGGGAAAGAGAGAGAGAGAGAGACTTATTTATTTACTTTAGCGCAGTGGTTCGACATAGCGCGTATAATTGAATTAGACCTGTCGTGAGCGTCTCTTTCATGACGTCACTCATCCCGAAATTCCCGACACCGGATTGATCCCACTTTCTTTTCCTACTCCGCTCTCTACAACAAATATTATTGTTGTTGTTTTTTGTCTGCTGTTGTTGTTGTCATTGCATCTGATGTTGTTGTTACTTCTGTTGTTGTTGTTAATATTATACCAGTCGGTGTTAATATTACTTTTGTAAATGTTAACATCTGTTGTGATATATTTTGTTGTTGTTATTGTAATTTTTGATGCTATTATTATTATTATATTTTCTAAAGTAATAACAAGACACTCGGCAGTTACACTTTAAAATGTGAAATCGTATTGATAAGATAACGCAAGTTTCTTCACAGATTATAAACCTTTGAAAACAAATTTTATCGTAAAAATGAAAAGGAATATAGGAAAAAATTAGACTAAAAAAATTAGGAAGAGTTAAAAATGGAAAAAAATGAAAAAAACATACAAACACACAAAAAGAACTAATAAGGCAGACGTAGAAACGCATCGAGCTAAACAAAAAACAGCGGACAGGGTAAAAAAATGTGAACTAGAAAGAGAAAGATAAAAAACCAGACCAACAAAAACCATTGTAATAAAAATGGCTATTAAATAACTTAATACAGCGTATAAATTCAGTTCTTTAGCTCGTATAAATCTACTTTTGCCTACTTGGCGGACTTTTTTCAGCTCTTTTCTATCTTATGTGTGTTTTCTTCTTTATGTATCTCTCTCTCTTTTTTTTTTCTTTTTCTCTTTGTGAGTGTGTGCTTAGTGTTGTTGGTTATACGTGTGTGTGTGTCTGTATGTGTTTCTGCGTTTTTGTGTGTGATTCTGTGTGCGTTATATATGTGTCTCATTCTTTCAGTGTCATTCTCTTTTTTTATAAACTTCTTTTTTCTATATCATACTTACTTTTTTTGCTCTTCCACTTTCTCTCTCTCTCTCTTTCTCCGTCTCTCTTTCTCTCCGTCTCTCTCTCTCTGTCTCTTTCTCTTTCTGTTTTAATAAGATAATGTGGGTGGTGTGTACATTTTTTTTCTCGTCGACCGGAGCAAAAATGTAAATAAACTTGGAAGGACCCTAAAATTAGCAATGGTTACAATTTGCATAAAACATGCATCCATATCATGACGCATCTGTTTTTGTTTCTTTGTTTTGTTTTGTCTTTTAAACTATTTAGTGTTTTTTTTAATGTTGTCAAGTGTTTTTGATGTTTTATACTGTTATTTGGTGTTTTTGGTTGTGTTTTTTAGTGGCTTTTACGGTTTTTTTTTCTCAAATGTTGATATGAATGTCGCTAAATTTTATAATTTCGCCATGTTTGAAACAATTTTTGATTTATTAACCAACATTTCTTTTAAATATTTTAAAAATAAAAAAATTATTTCATAGTTGGGGAAGTTTTGTTACGGAATAAAATTTAATAAATGACGCCGAGACTATGCCGAGTGAGATCAATGAAAATGATAACGCAAACTTTCATTCAAGTTCATTCAGATGTAAAACTTTTGTAGTAGTTCCGTGTGTGTGTGTGTGTGTGTGTGTGTGTGTGTGTGTGTGTGTGTGTGTGTGTGTGTGTGTGTGTGTGTGGTGTGTGTGTGTGTGTGGGGTTATTTTTATGAACTTTACAAACTTTTTTTCAAAATTCATGGTGTGTTGTTGTTGTTGTTGGATACCAATGTTTTTGTTGTTTGTTTGTTTGTTTGTTTGTCTGTTCGTTCGTTTGTTTATTCATTCATTCGCTCGTTCGTTTGTTTTGTTTGTTCTCGTTTAAATTAATTGTGTCCCTGAATCTATCTAAGCCTTTGAAGAATGAATAATCGTACTTCTTACCCTCTCTTCACAATCACTCAAACAACTAAATTGTACAATTTTACCAAAATCAAAATAAATTAATATATTTTACTTGGAAGAATAACGGAAAAACATTTTATTTACACTAGTAAACAAAAAAATCATTTGAGCAGAACAACATAAAAATCTGATAAACAACAACAACTGAAACAACACTTGCAATGAAATACATCAATGACAGAAAGTAACAACGTTGCTGTTGTTGTCGTCGTTGTTGTTGTATGTTTTTGTTGTTGTTGCTGCTGCTGCTGTTGCTGCTGCTGTCATCAATATAAGAAGCGTTACAATGCAACAAATTTTCCGTAAACAACTACTAAAACAACAATATAAACAAAAGCATGAAACGACAACAACATAAACAACGAAAACAACAACATAAACAACTACATAAACGAAAACGACAAATCATTGTATGGCTCTGCATCATTGTCAACATAGACAAGATAATTCTTACTTTAATAGCTTTTTAGTTGAATTTTTTTCAATCCAACCCACCCTATCAAACTTTGAAGGTTTCTCTGTATATGTCTTCCTTCTTTTTCGTTTATTTTTTACTTTTTATATTTTGTTTTTTTTTGTGGATTGTATCGTTCTCCTCTAAAATGTTTCAATTTGTCTACATCCCACATAATGATTTTTTATTTTTTTTGTTTAATCCCCTCGTTTTGCAAAAAATTTCTTTTCTAAAATTTCTAATTCAATTATTTTTCAACTAAATGTTTTGTCTGGGATTATCTTGAAAGCATTTTATTCTCAAATGAAAACTTAATAAATAATTCTTTTACATATAACAATTATCTCAGTCAAATAACCAACAAACAAACATACGAAAAACTAACATACGAAGTAACAATAGGCAGACACAAACATACAAACAAATAACCAAGCTATTTTATACATTAGGATTATTCTCGTTAATTTTTCACCATTTGGTAGCCAAGCAAACATCGAGGTGCTCCACAACATTAAAAAAATTTATACATACAAACACGCACATCTAGCAAGCACATACATACACACATACATACACACATACATACGTACACTAACACATACATATGCATACACATTGTAGTTTGTTTATGGCAAAAAATAAATTTTTTGTATGTGTTTGAATTTTCGTTCCACAACTATTGCAACAATTTTGATTGACAGATTTCAATATAGAACATCGCGCCCTGCCATCTGTCGACAAATTATTCCTTCTTTTCAATATGAATTTTCGCGATAAAATTTTACGACATCGTCTTCATCATCGTCTTCATCATCGTTTTCATCATCGTCTTCATCATCGTCTTCATCATTGTCTTCATCATCGTCTTCATCATTGTCTTCATCATCGTCTTCATCATCGTTTTCATCATCGTCTTCATCATCGTCTTCATCATTGTCTTCATCATCGTCTTCATCATTGTCTTCATCATCGTCTTCATCATTGTCTTCATCATCGTCTTCATCATCTTTAACAATGACATCATCATCATCCATAAGGACCTCACCATCGTCATCACATACATCGTCATCATCATCAACATCATCGTCATCATCAACGTCAACATCATTGTCATCAACATCACCCTTACGGCTAAAATCATCATCAGTGACGTCACTTGCTACATCATCATCATCATCGACATCATCATTAGTGACATCATCAGCGTCTTCATCTTCCTCTTCCTTGCAATCCATGCGATCATCCATCATCTTCCTTTTATATTCATTGTTAATTTTTTCTCGTCTGCAACTAACGACATCCTTATCATCGTCATCATCATCGTCATCGTCGTCTTCGTCATCATCATCATCATTAACATCGTCATTAATGCTGTCACCATCTTCATCATCGTCGTCACTTTTATTAACATCGTCATCGTCATCTTCATCATCAACAACATCGTCAACCTTGATACGAAGCGGTGCCAATGAACTGCATTACCGGCTGTACGAAGAGGTGCAGATCGGTGTTGTAGCTGCGGACATCCTCAAACATTCGAATCTCAGGTCGGTAATTGAGAAGGACATCACCCAACAGCTCCTCAAACAACAACAACAACAACAGCAACAACAACAACAACAGCAACAACAACAACAGCAACAAGACTTTGACAGCCAATTACAAACAGCCCTTCAACGATTGAGATTCAAAAATCTCGCCAAACTGACCTGCCCCCTGTCTTTAAATGAAAAAACCGGCCAAATAACCGTCGATGGTCGATTAGATAGAGAAGTGATGTGCGGAAGATCCGACGAATGTCGAATACGAATGGATGTCGTCATTCAGCCTATGATTTGGTTTAGGACGTTTAAAATTGAAATTGATTTAGCTGATATCAACGATCACGAACCGGTATTCGAACCGAATATTAGGTCGGTAATAAATATGATTTTTTAAATAGTCTTTCTATAGTTTTTTTTTCAAATTTTTCAAATTTTTCATTAATATTTCATTAACTATTTTAATACATGAAATGAAATAAAATTTTAGCGGTCTCTCAAAATTAAAAAAAAAACACATAAGCAGAGTGATCGAAACAGAGTTCGAAAGTAAATTTCATATATTAAAAACTACATCCAATAATTGAGAAAATTTTTTAAATCTACCTCAAATTTGGAAAAAATTTCACTTTCAACTTCTAAAAACTCTCCGACAATTTCTGATCTTCACATATTTCAACACGATGACCACACGCACACCAGCCAGACGATAAAAAGGTATAAAAAGTAGACACCGCACTACCATTTTTATGTCTGGCTCTGCCAAATTTAAATTTTATTCAGCCGTAAATTTTGATGGGAAATAAAATAAAATGTAAATTTTTCTTGCAACACTCTGCAACTAAATCACGGCGAAAGAACCTAATTATTCACGTCGCCACCACCAACCACGTACCTACCTACATATGATTCATACGTAATCCACTTATGCCAATCAATTTTCGTTAGTGCTCATTGTGGATTTTCGGAAAAAAAATTTTTTTCTAATCTATTTAATTATTCTTAAATTAGTTTAGACGAATTGTTTTTAATTGTTTAAATGATTTTTGTAGGACCATTGATCTGAGTGAATCATCAACCATTGGCACATCTATAATGTTGGATGGGGCGGTTGATATGGACTCTGAGGAACATTCTATAACCGCTTACATCGTCATCAACAGCGTCACAAGTGCGAACTCTGCTGGTAATGTCAGAGGGAAACAAGGTTTGTATGTTTGTGTTTGTATGTTTATGTATTTTTGTTTGAACGTATATGTTTTTTATGTGTTTGTATGTTTGTCTACGGTCAGATTATTTAGATGTTTGGATGCCGAGGTAACAAGTGGCTTTCCATAAATTTGAATTATTTTTATTTTTACGATTGAAAAGGCACAAAAGTGCTTTTGAAAAGTGTTTATAATTTTTAACACGTATTTTTACTGAACAAGCAAAAAAAATCTTTCGAGAAAAAATCTTTCTTGTGAGGGTCCCTGTTCCGTGGCGGACTCGAGGGATTAACCTTCTCTGCCCGCCTTGAAATCCGTCTCCGTGTTTGTCTGTTTGGTTTATATGTGTGTGTGTTTCACTATTTAAACGTTTTTAGTGGGAATATTAATACAGTAATTTGAGAGGAGAGGTCATTTATGGCTAGGTTTTTAGAGATTCCTTTCAAAAATTTCATTAATTTCGATATAATAGTTATTTCACTGCCATTGGTTTATTAATAATTTCAACAATAACATGTTTTTGTAGCGGAAATTGAAAGCAAATAGTAATGCAAATTTAATAAAGAATTTTTTTTCAGATCAGAACAAATCAAAGCCATCAAGAAAACTGTCGAAACAACAACAGCAGCAACAACAATTGTTGCAGCAATACCACCACCAACAACAACAACATCATCAACAACAACAGTATTTCACGGCAGAGGTCTACAAGCGACTTGACGGAGCCACCGACTTAAAACTCCTCCTCATCAAACAGATCGACAGAGAGCAATTCACCAACATCACTCTCTGGATAGCTGCCTTGGACGGGAATCGAACCCAGCCTCTTCCAACTTCATCATCTTCATCCACCTCATCACCGTCCGTACTCCAGTTAATTATTGTTGTGCTGGATGCCAACGATAATCCGCCGGTATTTGATAAAGAATCAACGAGCATACCGATATCTGAGAGCACACAGGTCGGCACTGAACTCGCCAGCCTCAAAGCCACCGACAAGGATGACGGCGACAACGCGCGAGTTTTTTATTATTTTTCAAACCACACGCTAGCCAAGCATAGCAAATACTTTTCTATCGATCCAAGAACCGGTTCTATTCGACTAACATCTCCTTTAGATCGAGAAACTATCCGCTCTCACCGACTGACTGTCATCGCCAGCGATTCTGCTTTGCAGCCGTTGACAGCAGAATCAGTAATAACTGTCATTGTACTGGATACAAATGACAACAAACCTGTGGTAAGAATGCAGACCCTTGAAAACGATGACGTAGTTGTGGCCAGTGTGGTTGAGAACGCGGCTGTTGGGACGTTTGTGGCACACGTTGTGGTCACTGATGCTGACAGTGATGAGAATGGAATGATTGCCGGTTGCCGGCTGGTCTCTGAAACTCATCTGGGTTCTGCGTTTGATCCTGCAAAGATGATGACCATGATGAATGATGAAAATCATGACGTCACAAACAAAAGAACACTTGATAAACAACAATTTCAACAACAAACACAACAGTATGAACAACAACAACCACAACAACAGTCGCGGCATGTCGGCTACAATGGTAACAAAATAAGTTTCTCCGATCAGAAAAAACAATCAAACCCATACCTCAGCAGCGAAACTCATTTTGAAATGAACCCACAACAAAACGACCAACCCAACTTCCAACAACAACAATTACACCCACAAAAACATCAACAACAACAATTACATCAACTACAATTACAACAACATCAGAAACGTCGTTTTACAATAAAGAGAACTGCCTCAGAAAGCGGCTACCAGATAGAAACGAATCAAGTTTTGGATAGAGAGGATGTCGCCAGGTTGGTTCATGTAAGATAAAATGACATTAATGTTTATAATTTTTTAAATTTCATACTAATGTAATTAATCTAATTTTATGTTTTTGAATATTGTTATAGTTGTGTGGTAGTGTATGAGTTTTTTAGTTGATGTAATTGCGATTTGCCACTGACATCAAATCAATCTAATTTGTTTGGTTTTTTGGCGTTTTGTTGATGTAGCTTACAGTAATATTTTATGATATTCTTGTTAATGTATTTTAAGTTATTAGCATTATTGTGAATGCAACGTAGTTGTAGTTGTGTTATATTTTTGATGCTGGTTGATGACGATGTCATTTTTAATGTTGCTGATGTTAATGTCGTTGATGTTATGGGTGATGTTATGTTATGTCGTTGTTGTTGTTGTGGTTAATGTTGTGGTTGTTGTTGTTGTTGATGTTATCAATGCGGTTGGTTTAATTATTGGAATGGCTAACAAATGTTTTAATAAAAATTTTCTTATTGCTTATACCATGTCTTACGGCTCAGTGTACTAATTTTTTAAGGCAATATCCTGCAGTTATTATATTTTTGGTTTTGTTGTCGCTGCTAGTAATTTTTTGCTGTTTTTGATATTGCTATTTTGTCTTTGTTTTTGTTATCGTTGCTGCTAAGTTTATGCGGTTTTTGATGTTGTTAATGTATCTATGTTTTAGTTGTCCTTGCAACTTTATATTCTTTGTCATTGTTGCTATTGTGTCTTTGCTGAATTAATTAATTAAGTGAATAATTAATTAATTAAATAATTAATTATTTTAGTCATTTATTTATTCATTACATAATATTTATTGAAACATTGTTATTGTAAAAGAATTGACAAATTCTTTGACGCGCCTATCGCGTGCATATTATCTGTTAATTAATTCTGTTCTGCTCATTTAGGATACGTCAGTCAGTCAGTTTTTCCATCTGGTAACATGTATACACACGCACGCACACATCCACACGCACACCCAAACACACATTTATACACACACACATATTCACACTAACATATACAACCATATTCATGTGTCAGTCTATTCTTCTGTAACACACACACACAACACACAAACACAGAGAAACGGATTTTCATACACATAGATACACACATTTACACACACATACTATACAACATACTAATAACCGTCTCGGGTTACATTTCATACGAGCCTCAACTTTTATTCCAATCAATTTTCGTACTTCCAAAGTTGAGTTCTATCAGATAAGTTACACCTTTTTTCTTCCTTCCTTCATCATTCTTTAATCCATTCTTTTATTCTTTAACCAAACGCAATTTCATTCCCTCACACACAGACGTGATTTCCCTAACTCACTCACTCACTCAGTCCATCCTCTTGTATCTTGCGATACAGAATAGATGTTTATTAAAACATTTTATGCCTTGATTATCATCGCAAATGTACTAGATGAAATTTAATCAAAACATTGTATCAGAGACATCAGAGAAAATTGAAATATTAATGACTCCAGTGCTTTGTGCCGTTAAAAACAACAAAATACTCCATCAGATTCTTTCATTAATTGGTTATAACAAACCTTTATATTACGTACAACTTTCTAAAACGTGTTGTTATATATTTTTTTTACTTTAGTATATGAATTTATGTAAATTTTCTCATAAATTTTTCAAGTTTATGGAAAGAAAAAAGAAGTGGTTTCTTCATCATATACTTTTTGCGCGCAAACAACATTCTTACTTACAGTAGAGCCATAGCAGTAAGAGTGTAAATCCTAATATAGATTCGATTAGCATATGCGTGTGCGAACGCATTTATGAATTTGCGACTGCGACCTCGCAACGCCACAGCTTCTGATTGGTTATTTATGTTTTTCTTATTACTTTTCTCTCCTCGTTCGCTACTCTGTTGGGCTGTTTTTGTTTGTTTTTGTTCTGTTTTAGAATTTACGTTCGTTTGTTGTTGTTTATTTTGTTGCAATCGTTTTTTAGTTTGTTTGTTTTTAGAATTTGAAATGTAGAAATGAGATTTTTTTGTTGTCGTTTTGGTAGATTATTTCCGTTGCATGATCCCTGCACGTTCATTCGATAAGAAAAGGTTGGATACGACATTCGGCGTCTTTCGTCACTATCATCTTCGCATTATTCAATTGTTATTTTTACAAGTTTGACATTTAATTCAAATTCAAGTCCGAATTAAATATTTTTGAATTTTTCTAAAAATTAAAAAACCTTTTATCACTTTAAAAAAAAATAAACAAAATATGACAGACAGACAGAATTAAATTCAATCTATTCGCAATGTTCTGACGTGTAATGCTTATCAACACGTCATCGTGACGTCATCATTAAGACGTATGCTGGAGTTCTGAAAAGTTTTTCTATTTTCGTCGCCACTCCTCTTCCTCTTTAAATAAAATTTCATTTGAATTTTTTTCTCATAACATTTTCATTATTTTATTCATTTATAATACAATTTGTTTATAAATAATTTCTATATAATTATTATTATTTTTTAACGAAAATAAAATTATTTCTCCTTCAACTACTAATAATACCAGCGGGATTGCCGTGAAATTGTTTTGGTTGAGTTTTCTAAACATTCAAAAATGCGGCGAATGTTATTCATATTTATCGCTCTGCCCAATATTACATTAGTTATTTCCATAAAAAAACCGCCAACCCCAGATCATAAATCTGCCTTTGTTTAAACGAGATTGTACAAAAAGCAAATTTTATTATTATTAATAATAATATAATAATAATATAATAATAATTAATAATAATAATATAACTATTATTATTAAAATAATTAATCTTATTTCGTTCTTTAACAGGTATCTTAACCTATACACCATTGTGCCATTCGTAATGATAATAATACTAGCAACGATAATACTAAATTAGTATATAGAAATATGGGTTGCAATGCAATTAAAAGTACTATTAATGAGGTGATTTAGCAGCACATAAATAACAACACACACATGACAACCGCACCAACATAACAACACATACAACAACATAATTATAATATTATAACTTTTAATAATAATAATACGAACAGTAATAATAATAATTTACTAAAAATATGTAAAAAATGCTAAAAGGTCTAATGGCGAGACACTGCTGCGACCAAGAACTTTAGTCAAAAAATACTGAAAAGTCTCACGACGAGACACTGCGAGCAAGAAAAAATCAGTCATTATCATATATAAGTCATTCATCATCGTTGAGCCTCTGTATATCTCGTTACGATTATTAACATTTACTAAAATGGAAAATGGTGGTAGTAATGGTTTTTATACTGTTATTATTATTATTCACGTACGCACACACGCACACACGTACACACATGTATATAATATATAAATGCTTATTTGGTTATTGTTAAGATTATTTTTGAGTATGACTTTTTGTATGGATGTGTGGGTATGTCTGTACATAAAGGCATTGAAAATCTATTAAAAAGTCTTCAGATTATTGCACAATAATTGTTATTGTTCATCAGTGGGATCATTTTTATGACATTTTGTCATTAATTTTTATTTAACACTAATAATATTAATGATTTCATTTAGATAGCTTAATGACCAGAATAAAATTGTTATCTCTTTTATTATTAATATTATTTTCATCGTTATTATTATAATAATAATAATTATCATTATTATTATTGCTATTTATTTATTTTTATCACTTCAACTTGAGAAATAGCATAATCGACACGAAGAAAAAGCCATTTGTGCGGTTTAAGTGGCGGGAAATTTTTATTTGTCTGCCTGAATGATTTGGTGAAATCTGAAATGAGGGCTTGTGGTTTGAGGATGACCACCAGAAAAATAATGATGGAAATGTCTGGTGTTATGTTAGTGTGATGGTCACACCTACAGAAGGAGTTGTGAAAATTTTATCTATAAGCTTAGTACAATAACAGTAGTAGGAATAGTTGCAGTAGTAGTAGCTTCTGTAGCAGTAGTAGCAGCAAGAGTGGTAGTAGTTGTAGTAGTAGTAGCAAAAGTGGTGGTAGTAGTAGTAGTTGTTGTAGTAGTAGTAGTAGTATCAACAGTAGTAGCAGCAAAAGTAGTAGTAGTTGTAGTATTTGTTGTCGTTGTTGTTGTTGTAGTGTTAGTAGTAGTAGCAGCAGCAGCAAGAGTAGTTGTAGATATATTATTTGTTGTTGTTGTTGTTGTTGTAGTTGTTGTTGTAGCAGTAGTAATAGCAGCAGTGGTGGTAGAAGCAGCAGCTATTAAGTTTGTTAAATGATTAAAATAATGGCCCTAAATATGTTGGATGAATTTGAATAATAATGAAATAAACAAAATATTAATAAAAATTATTACGAAACAGAATAGGAAATTTAGTTAAATAAAAAATTCAACCAATAAGAACGAAACTCCTACAAAAATAAAATGAAACGAAAGTACTCTGACCAGCGATTGATGCTTCCATCCATTCGTCCCATCAACGCTGATAATGATGACGGAGTTCAAAAGGTCATGAAATGACGTCATCATCCTGCTTGCACTTTTAGTTATTACTCAAAAAAGAAACAACTAACACTAAAGAGTAGTAACCGTGGTTTGAATTCTTCACGTAAACATTCCCTATTTATCGTAGTTTGCAACGCGCGACGCTTGTACGTACGTTCGTGCCAAACCAAATAACAAACTCGATCAAATAATATAAAATGTACCTTAACTTTTGATGTTATTAATCAACAGCATCAAGAAAAGCAGCTTTATTGTCGATTGTATCAATAAGCTATGTGCAGCAGAAGCAGTAGCTGCAACAGTAGCAATAGTAGCAGCAGAAGTAGTAGCAGCAATAGTAGCAGTAGTAGTAGCAGCAATAGTAGCAGTAGTTGTGGTATATTTTCTTGCGTTATAAGGTATAATACCCAGTAGAGTGCATTTTTTACTGTTCATCGAAGCAGTCCAACTGACGTTTGTTAGTACATTTATGCCTCTATACGCACGCTAGCATATTAATAAGTGTGTGCGTGTCTGTGTGTAAGTGT